GCGGGTTGTGAAGACATCATACGTCTGCTGATTATAGCTATGGGAAAGCGGATGGAGGGGGCAGAAGAGAGCGGACGTAAAGAGCAGCGGAAGCGTGAGACGAACATGTTGGAATTTGATGATAGCTACAGTGGAATGAGAAGGTGTCTCTGGTCGGCGAGGAAGGGAAGAAGGAACGAAGATTTGTGGAGCTAGACGGCGAGGTGAAGCTTCCCTAATCTACAATCCTCGTGCAGCGTAGAGGGTCCGCATCGAGCTTCAGCGTTAGTGCGGGGAACTGCAGCAAACCTGAAGAGGGTCTGATCTCCTTGCCCCCTGTATTGACTGATGACAGCAATCGGTGGCGTAGCCTCTACCAGATGGCCATGATAGATGTACCATAGCACGGCGTGTCTGTAGAACAGAAATTGCGTGATTGTGTGTCTGTGATGCGTGATAGTCGCTCTGCAGCGTGGAGCTCCAGCTTGAGCTCAGACCCCTGCGGAATTAACGCGCAATCGCCGCCCCTCACCGCCGTAAACTGCCGCCTCGGCATGTTTTGGTGCTGTTGATCTTGTTTTCCGCCCAAACTACGCGCCAACCTTGAATTCTACCTTCCAAGTGACGAAAGACACGATGAAAGTCACTATACGCGAGTGGAATGCCGTCGCCGCCTGGCGCTGGGATATGCCGGACGACGATGTCTGCGGTATCTGTCGTAACCCTTACGATAGTACTTGCTCCAAGTGCAAGTTCCCTGGCGACGAGTGTCCGCTATGTATGTCTGATCATGACGATGCTGGGCCTAGACTAACGTGAGATAGTACTGGGAGAGTGCAATCACTCTTTTCACATGGTACGCCTCCATACCCATGAAGTCACCCTGGGCGATAAAGACTAACACGTCTCAGCACTGCATCTTCTCCTGGTTGAAGCAAGAGAGCTCTCTAGAGAAGTGTCCCATGTGCCGGCAGCGTATGTACGCAAGTGACCTACCAGATCTCCAGCTAACCTGTACATCCAGCTTTCAAGTCGAAGAGTCAAGACGCGCCGACAGCCACCGAAACCCCGGCACCGACCCAAGAACCCGATACAAGCCCGCTGTAGCTTTCGGATCACACGGTCGATTACGGAAACTCGTTGAGAAGGTTGTCCTCACCTCGATCTGCAGGCACATGACGGAAGCTGGGAAAGCGGCGCGTCAATACCTTGGCTTGCACACAGATGTTACTATCGGCGTTTGGATTTGGATGATACCCTAAGGACTGCATTACATACTTTAGCCTTTGAGCTAGGGTCTTTCACCGCATTCCGTACCTGACTTGCTGCCTTGGGGTTGATGGGGTAGTGTGCATGGACCATGTCCCTTATCGATCATGCACCTTACTAGAGCTCCCGAACTCCGTTAACTCCAGTCTTCCATCAACTCCCACAACATGTCTAGCAACCCTAACACTACAGAGTACCGTTCAGATCGTCGCGCATCGATTTCCCCACGATCAAAGTCAATAGAGCGCGCCGAAGACCCTCCCGACGACGAGCTCCACGAGCAACAGCAGCCTGGCGATGCGCCAGAAGACGAGGATGAGGACGACATACCCTATCCCGAGCCTAGTGACGAGCAACCGCTGCTACCACCGCCGAATTTCCGACCCTTCTTCACCCTGATCGAAGACACGACGTCGGGCGAGCACTACCACCCGTATACACACTATGTCTTTGCCGACGACGACCCGACCATCATAACTGCTGCATCGATGCGAGGTCTGGGACTGGATGATACAAAGTACCTCCCGCATGACGCGCCGGGTGGAGGGGAGAGACGACGCAATCAAGGAAGCGAAGAAGGGGAGGAGCAAGACTCACCAGTCGAGTCACCGCTGCCCCCGCCCATACCGGGTGTCAAGGAACATTACCTCATAATCGATGTCGGCGCAGACGGGCGCACAGTCGTAGATGCGCAGTCGCTTTCGTCAGAGTGGCAAATCACCGATACGGACGTACGAATAGCTCCCTCGTTCGATGAGGACTCGCCGGATCAAGGGTACATGCTGCGCATACGAGGCATCGACATACCGAGGAAGAGCAAGGGCAAAGGCAAGGGTGAAGTTGGGCAGGACAGGCTGACTGAGGCGAGAGAACAGCAAGGCGACATCTTCGACGCGTTGGATGGGCTAGTGCAAGATGTTGAACGAGGACTGGAGACTGCTAGCAAGATCTCAGGCGCGCGATCCAGAGAGGAAGACCAGGGCACCTTGACCGATGTTCGCGAGGGCGATGTAGAAAAGACGGTGGGTGATGAAGCATGATGCTGGTGTGCTCTGCTGTTTCGCAAGTTGCTTCGGGTCACACTTCTCGTTCAGTGCGCATCTGTATGGAGCGCGCGCTTCTTTGCTACTACCACTGCGTTGACTCAGAGACGGCTTGTAGTTGGTGGCGTTCTTGGCTGCTCAGCTTGAGCCTCCTCGCAGTAACATCTAACAGTCATTTGCGCACTCTGTAAGAGCACCTTTAGAAGTCAGTACTGTCAGGAGCATCACATGCTGTCTTTGACTCCATGGCGAGATGCCGTCTTCCCTCGCCTACTATACTTATACCCATCGCAGATTGCGAGCTGCATAGTGTGAGCACCTTTGGCATTCAAGCACTATGCATCATTTCTGCTTCATGCCGCAATGTAATAGACACAGGTTATACACTTCAGCACGGTTTCTCTCACTTTGCTCACCGCCATGGGGTGGGTTGCCGGTCGCTCCTTCCTCCCTCCTTCTCTCACTACAAGCGAGGCGGGACGGTATGGGCACGGGCACCCACTATATGATTCAAACCTCTCTGCGTCAAGCTTCCTCATCACTTCCTACCTCCACTTCCTATCATTTCCCTAGCTTTACAGTCAAGTATCAATCATGGCTATCTTACGCACCCTCTTCGTCGCTGCCTCAGTGCTCTGCCTCACCACAGGCTATGAGCTCAAGGCAGAATACAACGCGAGCAACTTCTTCGACGATGGCTCCTTCCGTTTCTACAATGGCTGGGACCAGTTCACCCAAGGCATGGCTCTCTACGTCTCCAAGGAAGAAGCAACTTCACTTGGACTTGCACGCATCGACGACGGCAAGGTACATCTCGGAGTCGATACAACTCAAGTACTCCCTCCGCAAGAGCCCGGTGAAGGCTATGGCCGCAAGAGCGTCCGACTAGAAGGAGTGCAGACGTTCGACAACGGACTCTTCATTGCCGACTTTGAGCACCTGCCTAGTGGATGTGGCATGTGGCCTGCTTTGTGAGTCTCACTCCTCAAATTTCCCTCGCATTCTCGGACTTTCGAGTCAGTACCGACTCCAGCACTCTCTCTCGTGCTCGTCATCTTTTGTGCGGCGTATCAGACATGTACACCTGCTAATCATTTGCAGCTGGCTTCTCCACGACACAGGTCATCAAGAGGAATGGTACTCCGAGTTCGACATCATCGAGGGTGTCTCCATGAACTCGCGGAACTCGCTCAGCCTCCATACCGGTCACACACCATGCAAGATGCGAGACAATGGCGGATCAGGCGAGACGCGCCCAGACCTCGAATGCATGGAACATCGCGACTGCGGCGTCAATGGTCCCGAGGGCTCCTTCGGTCAAGCCTTCAACGATAACCGAGGTGGTATCTGGGCAGCACAAGTCGAGGACGATGGCATCAAGGCATGGTTCTTTCCTCGGGGTCACGAGCCATCGGGTTGGGATAGCGCCAATCCTGACCCCAACACATGGGGCACGCCTGTGATGAACTTCGTTGGGGATGGCTGCGATATTCGCAATACGTTCAAGAAGATGAAGATCGTAAGTAGACTCAATCTCGTGGATGTGAGTACCTACTAACATAGGACAGATCATTAACATTACCTTTTGCGGCTCCATGGCTGGAGGCAATGCATGGTCTGGCTACACACACTGCGCAGCGGAGACTCACGACGAATCTTGCGCTCACTTCGTTGCAACCAACCCCGACAAGTTCAACGAAGTGTACTATCTCATCAACTCGGTGAGAGTTTATCAGAACGATGCCGGTGCTGGCTACCAGGATAACAGCCTCTTACCTTCTCTGCCCCGAACGTCCATGACTTCATCCAAAGATGAGCGCCTCTCAGCGATGACTGCAGAGCAATCTCCCCTTCCAGCTGTCACGACTACCATCATCACCACTACGAAGATCATAACTTTGCCAGCGACGTTGACTCACGGATCTGGCTACGTCCCGTACAGTTCTTCGGTATCCGCCACAGCTCCAACAACTTTCGAGGTTCTCTACGGCGCAGCGCCCACGGTAGTTACCGTAACAACGGTCATTACGTCAACGAAGGTTATGACACTGCCTGCCACTTTAACTGGCGGTAATAACATGACTCCCTATGACCCTTCAGCATCCTCCACGACTCTCATCACCTTCCACAACAAACGTCTCTTGTTGACGGCTTCCGAGGCGGCTCCAGTATTGGAAGCATCATCGGCGACATTCACCAAGCCCGTGGGCACACACACTGGCGGCAAATACTACAGCGGTTATGATCCGTCAGCGACATCTACATCTGCCAAGCCTACAGGTACAAGAATCGGAGGCATTACCAACTACACCACCGTGCAGACTCCTCGGGCGTCATCTACGAAGCCTATAGGCACAACTATGGAGGGTGTTACTAACTACACCACCGTCACTGCTTCGGCTGCGGCTTGAGTTGTGTTCATCAGCACAAATCGAGCACGCGGCTAATCTCTTAGCTCGTTGGCTGAACAAGAGGGGTTCGATCTCAATCATGCATTTTATGGCGTTATGGAAGAATATCTGAGGCGGGAGAATATGTACGGATAGATGAGCAAAGGCGGGAGATCAGAGGTTCAGCGATTTCATCTCAAAATACAATGCCAGATAGGCGCGGATATATAGGTGCGAAAATATATCATCTTTCCTCACCTCTTCTCTCGCATTCCCCTCCACCTCCCTCCACCTCCCTCGACGGATTCCCACCGCCATCCTACCAAGGAATGGTCACCCCGAAACGATCGACTAACCTCCCACTCTCCCACCTTTCTTCATCCATCTTTTCCAAAACCCTCATACAGTCCTTCACGCTCTCCTCGACCCCAATCGCCCCTTCTTCTTTCCACTCCACTAACCTCGTTTCTACTCTTCCGGGATGCAGCATCAAAAATTGCACATCGGGTACATCGATAGTAAGACTCTTCACCACCGCATTCAGCGCCGCTTTACTGGCTCGGTACGCGTATCCGCCACCCGCTGTGTTCGCCGATATGGAGCCCATCCGGGAGGATAAAATGACGACTTTGGGTTTTGATGATTGAGCGGCGGCTGATCGGAGTTGTGGTAAGAACGCTCTTAAGACATTGAAAGTGCCCCAAGTGTTGATCTCAAACGTCTTCATCATAGTCTCGTGATTCATAGCCTCCAGCGTCTCGGTCGCGGCGACATTCTTGTCGCCCTGTTTCTGTTGGGCGACGATTCTTGGAACGAGCCCTCTGATGCCCGCGCAGTGGATGATGAGGCTTATTGGGGCAGACTCCAGAGTAGACGCGAGGTCTTGGATCTTTTGGGCTGAGGTAATGTCGATTTGGTGGGAACGAATGACGGCTCCATATCGTTCCGCGATTTGGGGAGGGAATGACCGGTTGTCTATGGCTATTATGTTTGTCGGTGTTGGGAGGGAGGCATAGTACTGAACGAATGCGAGACCGAGACCGGAGGATGCGCCTGTTATTATGATGGTTTCTGATGGCATTTTGGGTTGTGGCGTTGTGATGGTCGAGCTATGCGCATACTCAGAAAAACATGTGTAATTCTATGGCCGATGTACTACGAAAGATGTCTCAATGTGGCAATTTTGTTGAAAGGAAACTATACCACAAAAAGTTCTGGCGTCGGAAGTAGTGGGGACGAAGAGCCTCAGGGTCCTAGTCCATGCCACCTAGGTTTGCCGATCTGGAAGTGACGATGGTTCCCCGCAGTCTACCCGTTGGCGGCAAACGGGTAACGACCCGCATTACGGGGTTGGTTTTGAAGAAGGATATAAAGACCATTTTGAGATGTTGTCGTGGTACAACAATCATCAAGAGTTTGACTGCATTTGAAAGAAAGTGATAAGTGGCATTTTGCATGACGTAGCTCTTGCCGGCACGATGTTTTATCAACCCGGGAAAGAAGACCATGGGCTACCGTATGATCCATTCAAAGTATGCATATTTATCAACCTCGCTGGGTGTACTCAGACATTCCTAGTTGTCAACTAAATACACACACTAACCTCCCTACAGGCATGCGTCCTCCCCCGCCCCATAGGTTGGATATCCACCCTATCCCCCACCGGCGCCGCAAACCTAGCTCCCTACTCTCAATTCAACAACCTGACCTTCGACCCGCCCTACGTCATGTTCAGCGCAAACCAAACACCAACCAACAGCCAGAAAGACACCGTCCGCAACGTCGAAGCTACAGGGAAGTTTGTCTGGAATCTGGCGACGTATGAACTGAGGGAAGAAGTGAATAGAAGTGCCGTGCAGGAAGAGTATGGGATTGATGAATTCGAGACGGCGGGGGTGGAGAAGGAAGATAGTCGATTAAGCACTGTAGGGGTTGTGGAGGAAGGGAAGGAGGGGAGGAGAGAGATGATGATACCAATGGTGAAACGCAGTCCAGTAAAATTTGAGTGCGAGTATTATACCACACTACGCCTTCCTGGAAACCCACCCATGGGCTCGGCGGATGTGGTGATTGGGAAGGTGGTTGGTGTGCATATCGATGAGCGCGTTTTGACGGACGGCAAGATCGATGTGAGGAAGACGGAGCCGATTGCTAGATGTGGATATTATGAGTATGCGGTCGTGAGGGAGACGTTTGAAATGCGGATACCGGGCGAGGACAAGGCGATTCTGGCCGGATTGGAGGGGAGTGCAAAGAAGAATGAGAGGTTGGATAGGGTGGGGGATGTGGATGGGGATATGAAGTGATGAGGTGGACTATACGACTGGAGACTATCTAGTGCAAACTACACTCCATAACGCCAGTTCCCAAACTCCAAAACAAGTAAGAGCGGCTTCAAACATCCGCTTCGACGACAGGCGCATCGGGGGGTTTCGAAAGCCGACAACACACAATGCCCCTCAATGATCAGGAAAGTTCTTGAGAAAACTTCTGAAGGAACTCCTTGACCTGTGGATCCGGCTTAAGCCAAGTCTTTTTAGGCAATGCAATAAGCTGAAGACCCTCGAGAGATCGTGCTCTGCTGACTGTTATAGCCGTTAGCCAAATTTTCGACTGGGAGTATGTATCGTAGGGTTACGTACGCGCGACATATAGCTGTTCAAAGTCGAAAGCTTCCCAGAGGTCAACTTTAACCTTGTCGAGTGACATGCCCTGATTCACTAGTTAGAATGAAAGCGACCCCAGAAACCTCACGGACATACCTGTGCTTTATGGATTGTCATGGCGTATCCGGCCTTCAAGGGTATTTGTGTCCTTGAGAGAACGCTGTAGGGCTCAGAGTCTCCATATTCAGTCCCCATACAATCCGCATATATGGTCTTGGTCTGACCATTGTCGAATTCGACGATGGGCCAAGGTTTGCGACCGTTCTTGTTTGCGAACTCACGAATTTGGTGATGGTAATACTTCGCGTGGGGCCCGCTTAGCCCACCGTTGTTTTTGCTGGGCAGTTTGGCCTCGTCATAGTCCTCGAAATCAACTATTGTGCCCTGTGATCCATTGACGAGGCCGAGAGCTGGAGAGAGGTTCTGTAGGAGTAAGACACGCATGCCTTCTTTGAGGTCCAAGTTGCGCTCGTAGCGATGCTCCTCCTGTGTATGGTCGTTAGCGTATGGTAATCACACGTACAGAATTACCTACGATGCGTGGCCTTCTTTCGTCGATCATTTTCAGATACGGGTTATCCTTATGCTCGTCCTTCCAGTTAAAATGATCTCTGCAGATATATCTCATGACCGGCGTTGGTAGTTGCGCAATCCTCCTGTCGTTGACAACATTCACATCCGCGTTCTTTGGGAACAATGCCACAGCATCTTGCTCATTTGATCCGGTATCGAGTAGTATTTGCTTCTGATCTTCCGTGACATTGCCATCTGATCATTGTTAGTAGTTTGTTTTGGATGTCCGCACGAAATGTCTCCACAGATCGCAAGTGTACGGGGCGCTTACTAAGTCGGTATTGTTGGAGTATCTTTTGAAATACTGGATCAGCTTGTCGGTAAATCTTCGTCAGATGAAAATGCTCGAAACGACATTCCTATTGCAATTAGTAACACACTCAAGCAGGTCGAGACGAAGATCTCATACTCTCCACGCGTCACTCCGGAATGCCCACTTATCGTGTTCCTGGAACAGTCTTTCGCCACACGTATCGGGCCTGCCCTTCGAATCTTTTTCACGTGTACATGTGTACTTTTTACCCTCTCTTTTGAGCGGATCTCCGCACTGGAAACAGTGCTCAAAAGGTTTCACTGGTGGTAGTTGACAGAACTATGCTCGTCAGCAGCTGCGAGTATGGAAGCATGAACGAACAGTAACTTACATCCCCAGTAACGACCATCTGGACTCCACCGAACGGCTCGCTGCTCTCTCTAGCATACTTCATCATTGCGTTGAGACGACGGAAGGCGTTGCTCTCCAACATACTAATCTCATCGATAACGAGGACATCGGTCTCTTGTAAATGAGTTGCGATGGTCTTGTCCTTGTTCTGGCCAATGAGCTTCTCTATCATCAGCCCAATTGGTTCTTCGTTGGTTTGCGGACGCCAGCCAGCGTAGCTGAATAAAGTAATGCCTCCTACGTTCAAGGCAGCGAGGTTCGTGGGTGCAGTCACAACAACCCGCTTCCCCATAGCCATTAGTCGCTTTTTGAAAGCTCTGAGGATGGCGGATTTTCCAGTACCAGCAGAGCCGGTGTAAAAGACATTGCGTCCTTGCATGATGCAATCTACCACCCGCTCTTGCTCGGAACTCAAAACCACTTCAGGTTCAGTAGTGTCTATGTCTGAGCTAGTGGGATCCTTGGCAGAACTGAGCTCCTGCGACATCTCCGGTGAGGTCAATGGTGTATCATGACTGCCCGGCGTTACTGCTTGGCTTGATGAAGAGGTGGCAAAAGACTCTGTAGATGGTCTCGAGCTCGATGTAGATGCGCGCTGAGGGGTCTGCGGTTGAGATTGAGAATAGAACTGCGTGGGTGACTGCTGAATTGTTCCGGGATGAGATTGAGAAGCGAACTGCGTGTGTGACTGCTGAATTATTCTGGGCTGAGGCTGAGGAGCGGTGATCGTCGGTATCTGCTGCATTATCCTGGGCTGAGGCTGAGGAGCGGAAGTTGTCGGTATCTGCTGTTGGCCTTGAGGCTGGAACTGAGGAGCGGAGGTCATCGGTATCTGTTGTTGCGCTTGAGGCTGGAATTGAGGAGCGGAGGTCGTCGGTATCTGTTGTTGTGCTGTAGGCTGATACTGATGAGTGAAGGTTATTGGTGTCTGTTGTTGCGCTGTAGGCTGATACTGAGGAGCGGAGTTTGTCGGTATCTGTTGTTGCGCCATAGGCTGATACTGAGGAGCGGAAGTTGTCAATGTCTGCTGAGTCGGCCTGGGCTGATACCGAGCAGCCTGCATCGCTGCAAATTGCTGAGCCAGCTGGCGATTACGTTGAGCCGTCGCAGGATCCGGAGACTTCTTGCGTTGAAGTTCTAAGTAGGCGCGACCATGTTCCCACTCAAGCGCAGTCTCGCTAAGAGCCCTGTGTACTTCCATATGGTCCCAAGCTGCATCTCTAGTCGGGAAACCACCCTCTTGCTTGTTACCCGGGCCGCGCGCGAGAAGGTCCGTTCCAATGAAGTTGTCGAACTTAATCCTATCCCAATCTCCATAGACACCAGGCATGTGACTTCCAGGACATGCGTAGAATCCTTTTCCTTTTCTTGTCGATGAACATACAGGATCATCGGGCAGTCCCCACTCTCTAACAGGCAGCTGAGAGCGAATGTATCTTCCTGTCTGGGCATCTACTCCCGATTCCGGACCCGGTCGTACTTCATTCTCGTTGTACCTAATTCCGCCCGTCCTTTGTTGCTTATTGTTCGCATCGTTGTGCCCCCCTTGATTTTTTCTCTTCTTAGCCATTGTCGCAGGCCGTCCGTTTGATAACGCGTTTGCGGTCGATGGTTGTTCCGAGACTTCGAGGGATGGAAGCGTGTCGCGGGGAATTGCGCGTTCGTGTGGTCTGAGGTGCGATCGTTCCGTACAAGAGCTCTTTCCAAGCGCGCGAATCTACTAGAAGCTTGTTAGCATCAGAAAGTCCGGGCATTTCGCCGTCTGACGTGAGTTGAGGGCATTGACGCGAGTAATGAGACCTACCTTGGATGGAAATGCGTATGACGATAGGAAAATATGCAGTGCGACAGAATTGTAGTTCTTGGATGGCGGCCAGCTGTGAAGATGCATGGTTGCGGCACGGCAGACCTGGTCCATGGCTCGCCGCGGAGCGATGATGTAACAGGGACGCGCACGCCAAGCCAACGCCCCAATCGCGTAGCTCTCACGCTAGCACGGGTGGAGGTGTCCGTTGAACATGTGGGGATGAATTGCTCTCGTTGCGTTCGCGTTCGTCTCGTGATGATCCGATTGCAATTACTTTCGAGTACTGCACTTTGGTTAGTTGGGTATATCTAGACGCTGATTTACCGAGAGGGTCAGAACTGGTACGTCTCCATTTCCATCCACGAACGCGG